CGCACACACACACACACACACACACACACACACACACACTCACACACACACACACACACACACACCTCTGTGCTGAGTAATGCAGGAGCGTCACACCTGTGGTTTCGTTCAGATTACTGTCTGTGGATGTATCGGCGCGAGGACTGCGCAGAACCTCTCACCACGTACCAGCAGAGTCTGAAGGAGGTTTACACGCCGCCCGAGGCCCAGAGCGGCAGCCAGGAGCCCACGCTGACCGGAGACGTGTTCAGGTGAACAAACACACCCACGAACACACCTGACCGCCACAACATCCCACACTTATCACTGTGCTTCATTTGCAGCTATTCAATCATCTTACTGGAGATCGCCACCCGGAATGATCCAGTGCCGGTAAGCTTGTGTGTAGGCTAAAAAAAAACATTTTTATTAATTTATTTTTTAAAGTATGTCTGTATAGTTTTTATTCATTTTTATTTGTTTTTTTAGCTGAAATAAAATAAGTTCAAGTTTTTTATATTTTATTTTATTTCAGTTCATGTCTAAACATGGATATGGCCTATCGTGATAATCATTATTGCTAGTAAATTTCACAAATAATTACGAAATAACGGCAAGAATTAAATTATATTGAATTAAACGTGAAAAACTAAAAGACTGAAATGATATTTTATTGTACATTTTACTCCAATAATCTTTGTTTTATCTACAATTTGGAAAAATCATTTTTTACAGTTTGCACCGGGGGAAAAAATTACAAAGAGACAGCAAGTAACACACTGAATTAAACATAGAAAGACTGAAATAGTATTTTCTTGTAAAACGTACTCCAGTAATTTTAGAAATCTGTTTTAATTGCAACTTAGAAAATCATTTTTTACAGTTTACAAAATGAAGGCTTGTAGGTTTAATCAATTAATTGTAGGTTTATATTATATTATATTATATTATATTATATGGGCTCCAATGTGAATGTAAAGTTGAACAAAAAGAGAAATATTTTAGATTTTTTAAATATTATTATTTTCACAGTGTTAAAAAAATCACATAGGCCTATTTAATTATGTTTCCAATTAAATATAAAAAATCTATAATGTATTTGGATTGCATGAGCAAAATAGACAATTAAATCATTAATCACAATAGTTTGTATGATAAGTAATCGTCAGCACGAAAGTCATGATTCTGACAGGCCTAGTCGGTGTTATTTTAGAATAGAGATGCAATTATAGTTTTTATTAGTATTTTAAATTAGATTTGTTAGATTATATTTTCTGTTTTAACTTTTATTTTAGTTGAGCAAACTTTGTTTTAGTAATTTTGTTGTGTGTTTTTGTCATTTTTATTGTTATTATTTTAAATATATTATATAATTTTTTTTATTTTTTTATTTTATTTATTTATTATAATTTTTTTTGTTAAACCAA